CCTTCATATTCCAATTGCCAGTAATTAGCAATATATCTTGATTGCATGTGTGATCAATTTCACACTGAAGAACATAGTAGAATTCATCAATATCATCATCACTGGCTTTAGTGGTTGGCACAGAAATTGGAAAAAATGTTCTTTCATGTTGTTGTTGTTGTTAGGTGCCATTGAGTCGGTACCAACCCATAGCAACCTTATGCACTGCAGAACAAAACACTGCCCAATCCTGGGCCAACCTCACTACTGCTGCCACGCTTGAGTCCAATGATGCTGCCACTTGGGCCAATCCATCTTGTTGGCAGTCTTCCTCATTTTCTCTGCCACTCCACCTTACCAATCGCCAGCGATTGGTCCCTCCTGACAATATGTTCAAAGTATGAGAGACAAAGTTTGGCCAACTTGGCCTCTAAGGAGCACTCTGGCTACATGTTTTCCAAAACAGATCTATTGGTTCTTTTGGCAACCCATGGCACTTTCAATATTCTCCTCCAACACCATAACTCAAAGGCATCAATTCTTCTACGGTCTTCCTTATTCACTGTCCAGCTTTCATATGCATATGAGGTTATTGAAAATACCATGGCTTGGGTCAGGCACATGTAGGGGTATGGATACAGACCTATACAGACAGCATTGTAATTCAAGAAAGATTTTGAAATGTTCTTTTTGAAGATGAATGTGATGGCATTCCTTTTCAATTTGTCATTCCTGTAATAGTAAACCTTAGTATTATCAGAATCAAGATGACCTATACCAGTGAATTTCAGGTCAATTATAACTAGGACATTAATGTTTATGTGTTCCATTTCATTTTTGACAACTTCCAATTCTCCTAGATTCATATTCTGTACATTTCATGTTCCGATTATTAATGGATATTTGCACCTATTTCTCCTCTTTTGAGTTGTGCCCCCTCATCAAATGAAGGTCCTGAAAGTTTAATCCATTCTCACCAACATGCTCAACTCTTTGAGGAGGCAGCTCTTCCCCAGTCATATTTTGAGTACCTTCCAACATGAGTGGCTCATCTTCTGGCACTGTAGCTGACAATTGTTGTTGTTATGTGCTGTGGAGTCAGTTCCGACCCACAGTGACCCTGTACAGGGCTTCCAAGGCTGTATATCTTAATGGGAGCAGAAAGCCTCATCTTTCTGCCGTGGAACAGCTGGTAGTTTCGAATTCTGGTGCTATTCATAGTATTTCAATATTCAGTAATCTGGTGCTATATCACAGTATTCCATTGCTATCCATAAGGGTTTTGATGGCTAAACACTCAGTAGTTTGCCTCTACTTCTTCTTAGTTTATTTTTTTTAATGTTTTATTGTGAATTATGTGATAGTTTACATGGGAAAACATTAGTTTTACATTCATCCTATCGTATATTGTTTCACTGCCATGGTTACAATCCCCTCCATGTATCATCAACCAACCAAAGGGTATACCCTACAAGACTGACTCCCGGTCATCAGCACACAGCCCCTCTCCCTCTCTGGGTCTAAAGTCTCCAGCCGCTCCATCTCTCCACGTCATCATCTCAGCAGGGGTGGGAATGATCCTTGTTGCAAAGATTTGTTCCCTCTTTTGAGCTACTGAATTCATAGGTGTATGTCAAGTTCATCAAATTGTATCAGATTACTCTTTTTTTCCCCCTCTTCTTTCTTCTTCTAGTTGAGCTCTGATCATCCAGTCATTGAAGTCAGGTCAAGTGGGTACTATCTGCAAGTGTGGGTGTTCTTATGCATATGCCCTCTCTTCTTATCAGCTGGATGCTTTACTCTCC